CCACCGTGTTCTGGCTCCAATGATGGTGAGAGCCACTGATGAAGAGCAGCTGAACATGGAGAGGAAAATGCAGTGAGCTGAAGGAAGACAAGATGGAACAACGTCACAGTTTATTTTTTCCAGATTTATAGCAACTGCATCCTGAGAGGATGGAAGCCCTCAAAACTTTTCATCCAAAGTTTTGGTGGTGCCCACATGCGCAAGGATGAAGCAGTGTGTGGTTGTGGGGCTGTGTAACCTGCTGTTCCCTTCTCAGGATCTGATCTGGGCATTCACAGAAACATTTGTAATCCCATGGGGTTCCTTTAGAGAAGCAAAAATGCCTGAAATAGGAAAAAGCCAAGTGTTTTTCATTACATCCTGCACATATCAAATGAAATCAGAAAGGGGAAGGACCAACACACAGAGCCAATGAACATCCAACCTTTGTGATAAAGAGGCAGCATCTTGGCCTACAGGGATGCTAAGGAAATGCTTGTCAACTGCAAAAAGTTAGACTGTAGCACAATAAAGTCATCACTGAGCTGAGGTTGGGCGCATTACTCTGCAAGACAGCACACACAACTGCTGACCACTGTGCAATAAAAATACAACAGGAAGAGCAAGCAAGGAGGGAGAACTGCCATCCATGGGTAAGGGATTAGCCAAAAATGCTTGCTACAAGAGACAGATGCCAAAATCACAGCATAAGCATCTACTTCATTAAAAGCATGAGGACAGAGCTTTGGTGTAAAATGTGGGCAGGGCAGAAGGAAGACAATGTGGGAATTGCTCAGCTCCTCTCCTGACCACATTCAGTATTACCATGTTGTCCAGGAGGTCTCCAGCTGTGATTATCACAGAATCACCGAAACACCAAGGTTGGAAAAGACCTACAAGATCATCCAGCCCAACCATCTGCCTATCACCAATAGTTCTCACTCAACCATGTCCCTCAACACAATATCCAAATGTTCCTTGAACAGCTCCACGGTCGGTGACTCCACCACCTCCCTGGGCAGCCCATTCCACTGTCTGACCACTCTTTCAGAGAAGTATATTATTCCAAGCTGAGGACACTGGTGGGATTCCATCCCATGACAGGTTACCACTTTGCTGGGCTAGAGTAACAGATTAGCTTTGTGTCCCGTTGCAGTGTGAAACATAGACTCATAGAGACATCTAGACTGGAAAAGACCTTGAAGATCACAGCTAGTGATGAGTTCTCCTCTCCTCTCAGCCTCCTCAATTACAGACTAAACAGCCCCAGTTCCCTCAGGCATTAGGCAAAGTACAGCCTAAAATCTCCCGCAGGTAAGCTTAAACTAATTGCTACACTGTTTTTGCAACAGCAAACAGGCAGTAAGCTTTAGTAGCTCACCGCTGGGCCCTGAGCCCAGACTGCATTGACAGAAGATTTTAAGCTGCTATGTGCACTAGGGTCAGCGTTGACTTATCTCAGCTATTGCAAAACCTGAAGAAAGCTTCATCCAGGGCCAGAGAGTTATCCTTAGCAGTTACTCACTACTGAAAACGCCCAAGGTTGAGCACCCAGGCTCCTCAGGGACCCAGCTCCCAGCCAGGAAAGCAGACACAGCCCACCCTGTTGAGTAAGACCCATCTCCCAGCCTATCTGTAAACAACTAGGCCTCTGGGCTCAGTCTCTTTTTGCATCTCTGTAAGACCTTTAGGTTTGAAAGGGTCTCTTGAGGCAGGACTTGTCCACGTTTCTGGAAGAGGCTACCGAATGATCAGCTTACACATGCATATTGCTCAGGCTGGAGGCAAACTTAGTGGCAGAACAGGGCATTCCAGGGCATTCCAATGGCTCCTTTTATGTCTCACAGTTCATTTGCATCCTTCTCTGCCTTCAAGGCAACTCCCAGTCCACCGAACACCTGTTTTTAGCCCCCAGAAAACAGATAAAAAATCTTCTTCTCCACCCAGCCCAATGCACGGTCACGGAATCACAAAATTGCAGAGGTTGTAGGGGACCTCAAGAGATCATCAAATTCAACCCCTCTGCTAAAGCAGGTTCCTTACAATAGGTCACACAGGTAGGCGTCCAGGCAGGCCTTGAATATTTCCATAGGAGGTGACTCCACAACCTCTCTGAGCAACCTATTCCAGTGCTCCATCACCCTTAGCAAAAAGTTCCTTTGCATGCTTGTGTGGAACCTCCTATGTTCATGTTAGGAGATTGCTCCCTGTCCTACTGCTACGCATCACCGAGAAGAGCCTGGACTCATCCATTTGCCTCCCACCTCCCTTTAGGTATTTATAAACATTAATCACATTCCCCCTCAGTCCTCCAAACAGATCCAGATTACTCAGCCTTTTCTCATGTATGAGATGCTCAACACCGTTTATCATTGTGGCCTTCCTCAGACTTCTTTTAGAACATCCCTGTCTTTTTTGAACTGGGGAGCCCAGAACTGGACACAGTATTCTGAATGTGGCCTCACCAGGGCAGAACAGATCACTTCCCTTGACCAGTCCCAGCACAGTTGCCTGGGGAACACCGCTACTTACAGGCCTCCAACCAGACTCTGCATCGCTGATAACAACTATCCTTCTTAATGTTTACCAACTGTCCCTGAGACCTATAAACTCCTCCCTTCCCCACCACTTCAAGGAGGCTGCTCATTTTGTGAAGGAGATGAGTGCATTCTCCTGTTTAGGTGCTTAAGGAATCCACAGGCCCTCAAATCCCTGCATTCCACCAACCCCAGCAAAGAAAACCTTAGAAGACAGAGAGAGAGCCTTGCACAGAAGTAGTGGCCTGGCATGGGCTTGGTGACCCTGCAACAAGGAGAGGGCAAGAGGTCCAAATATCCAAGCCCCAATCCCCGACACTCTGCTGATGATGAAGGTGTCAGACCAGAGCAAGCTTTCAAAAGTGGAGGGAAGGGGGAGGAAAGCCAGCTGTTATGCTGGATGAACTTTATCTGAGAAAAGCCAGCCAGATTGAGAGCAGCCAAGTGAAAATGAGGCTTTTCATTGAGAGCCACTCATACTGCAGAAAGCACCCAGCTCCAGTTAAACACACCACTAGAACATGATGCTGCATATTCCTTAAGGTAATTGTCACAACTCCACAGACTCAACTTATCCCCGTTCTCTGGATGGAAAATTGAGGCATGGCTTGTGAGCAAAGAGACCAGTGGCAAAAGCAAGCAACTGACCCAAGCCTCTGGAACTCTTTCTGGTCCTAAGGTGTATGGATGGAAGGAGAAGATGTACACAGCCCCCATTTGGATGGGGTGAGAGCTCAGTCAAGGGGGGTGAACCATACAATCTTAGTGTGATTCTTTTTCCTTCACTATACAGACACTCTCGCATTCTCTCTATTCGCCAACTTACAAGTGAACAACAGTTACATAATGCAGCAAATTACATATTTTCCTTGATCTCAAGTGAGAATTTTGAAAACGCATCAACATCAGTCCCCTTCTCAACACAAGGCAATGGGTTACACCTCTGAAAGCACATGTAGGACATCAGGGAGACAGAAGCATACAAAGGCCCTCCAGAGTCACAGTTGATAAAAGAGAAAGATAAAAAAGCTTGTCTATCTAAAGATTATCCATTTTTATAACATATTTAGTCACACTGCAGTATGGACTGAACAGCGCATGCTGAGCATTCCGCAAATACACGCAGAAAAGAAAGTTGCTGTCCTAAAAAGGCTTATGGTGAGGAAGTGAAGGGGAGGAGACAGCTCAGCAAAGGCAGATGGATATCTAGAGGGAATTTCCAGCGCATGGGAGATGCAGTGATGTGCACAAAAGATCTCAAAAGAAATGCTGAACAAGAGAGCCCTAACACACAGGGCTCATTTCTTCACCTTTTCACATCTGCAGACCACTGCTGAGTTAGTGGGATACTGTGTATTTCAGTACTACCATCCCACTACAGGTTCCAGCATTGGTGCTGGGTCACTGTGTGCTGTTCAGGGTGTCTGTCACAGCATAAAGACACAAAACTTTCAGCGTCCAAAGGAGGGCTACAGAGATAGTGAAGGGTACGGAAGGCAAGACATGTGAGAAGCAGCTGAAGTCCCTGGGTGCGCTCAGCACAGAGCAGAGGAGCTGAGGGGAGGCCTGATGGCAGCTGCAGCTCCTCACAGGGAGCGGAGGGCAGCGCTGAGCTCTGCTCTGTGTGACAGCAACAGGACCCAGGGAACGGCATGGAGCTGTGCAGGGGAGGGGGGGAGGGGGTCAGGGACAGGGTCTGCAGCAGGGGGTGGTGGGCATGGAACGGGCTGCCCAGGGTAATGGTTATGGACACTGCTCTCAGACACAGGGTTTGAATTTTAGGCGGTCCTGCGTAGAGCCAGGAGTTGTACTTGATAACTCTCTTGGGTCCCTTCCAGCTCTGGATATTTGACAATTCTCTGAGTTCAGGACGCTGGCACAACAGATATCTTGCTGGTCCCTACCAGGACCGCCACAGCTAGTGAGACATGGCCCAGCTGGACTGCACTGCCTTGGTGATGATACCTATCCCTCAGGAACGTGCTTACGCTGCCTGTCAGGGTGTATGAGCACAGAGGGCAGGCTCAGACAAGCTCACAGATATGGGCTGTGTCCAGACTCCTCTCAAAAGAGAAGAAAACTCAAGGGCACTTGTTAGGTTAGCAGAGGCCTGAAGCTCTCAATATCCAAAGCCACAAGAAACATACTGGACTCAAGTCCTCCTGCACATGGGCAGACATAGAATTCAACCAGACATATGCAGACCATACACTAACAATGTAAGGGAATGCAGTCCCATGCTGTGAATCTCAAACACAGCCAAAGCCACAGTCAGAAATAAGTTTTGTGTGATCCTACAGCCTTCTGTAGGATCACATCAGCAGTCTAAAATCTTCCCATCAGCCTGGAAGAGTGAAAACACAAAGAAACCCATAACAAAAAAATCTGGAGGCTCAGAAGAAGGGGTCTCAACCCAAAGGCTGCCAGGAAGCCCAGGCATTTGTACGTCTGAGCTTAGCAGCACTGAAGGCTGTCACGACTCACCTCACTTCCCAAGAAGCCACAGCGGGACCTGAACTCCCTGCACACACTCCTCCTTTCTCCTTTTTTCAGTCAAGCGAGACCTATACAACATCGCAACAAAAGAAACTGTCAGCAAGCCAAACCCTGTCCCTTCCCTCCAACCAAAAAGCTTCATTTCCTCTCTTCTTCAAACTACTGCTGTAAAGTGAACCAATTATATATGAAAGTTATCACTCCAGCCCCCAAGGTTGCAATCAAAGGTAGGGAGTGAAAATCCTCCAGCGACGTGAATGTAATTGCATGCAGGGTGTGACGTGCCCCTGGGGTGGGGATGGTGTTCTACAGTGCTGTGCCCATCTCATGGTGAACACCTGCAGTGAATCAGCAGTGCAGCACCAAAACAAGCCTGCTGGCTCCTCCAGATGATGTGGTGCTCCTGGGATGTTGGCCAAGACGGCTCGAGCATCACCAAGAGGGCACACACTTTTCCTGGTGGACATCTCCAGGCCTTAGGGACATCCCACACTACACTCTGGTCACCCAAGGGTGACAAGGGACATCCAGTGGGCACCAGGTGCTGCTCTGTGCTGCAGCGCTGCTTTCTCCCCAAACCAGGTCTTGCTCTTCTTCTCCCTCCCAGCCCACAGGACCCCCTGTAAGGGTAGCTGTATATCACACAGTGCCTTTGGTAGACGGAGTTTGAACCACAGTGGGGGGGAATGGGACCTTTATTAACATCAGAATAGCATCGTCAGGCAGTGTACTTAACCCAGTGACATTTGCACTGCTAAGTTTGGGAAGTATGAGAAGCATTCTTGCAGAATAGGATAGGGGGAGGGACAGGCAGTCTTTGGCCTTCTTTAATTTGCTGCCAAACACTGTGTGATTCAAAGTCCATGCTCCTCCTTCACTCAGAGGTGCCACCCCGAGCTCCCTCAGTGCTGATGCCAGCAAACCAGAGATGTGCTGCATTTAACCAAGTGAGTCGACACTAGGCTTAGATCAGGCCAGGCTTTCTGAAACAGAGAAATACCAACAGCTCCCACTGAAATAAGATGGAATAAATTGTGGACTTCTGTGTCAAAGAAGGAAAGCAGATGCTTACCTCCACAAAGCCAAGTCTGACAACACCACGCTGAGATGATACACTGCATAGCTCAGTAACAGATAGCAATAATCCCTACATTCACACTGATTTAAGAATTTGTGAATGATTATTTTCAGGTGCAAATATATGAGCTCATCTGGAAAATCAACAGTAATACCTGCAGCAAGAGTAGATGAGCTGCACTAACAGCATGTAGCAAAATCACTGCTCCCAAAAAACAACCCATCCCTTAGCTTTGCTATTGATTTTGTAGAAGGAAATTAAGCCTCTATCTTGCTCTTGTTGCTGAGGGTAAGAGAAGGAAATGTAAGTTTCAGTAACCTTTCTGGGCTTGTTTTCTGCAAACATAATCTACACCTGCATCTTCAATTAGTTCCATGGAAGTCCAGAGAAATGTGCCTCTGGAAAGCCAAGCCATGAGACGTCTTCAGGGGAGCTGCTGCCCACATCCAACAAAAACATTAATTAATCCCCAAGCGTGCCAAGTCTGCTGGCATATGAGGTGAGCCAAGAATCTTCCTCAGCACCCACATTGGGATATTTGAGGGAGCTTTTGAGGAATCCAGGAGTGAGCCTGTGCAACCAGCTGCAGCTGCTCAGCTACTCCTGCTCTCCTGGATCACTTCCCAAGTGATTTGCACACACACAAAATCCAGGCTTACTTTCAGTAAAAGTGGGCATCAAACACTCTGACATCAAGCACGATGATTAAAGACACTCAGTTACTAGGAAAGATTAAAAGAACTAAGTATGTCTAACTTGGCTAAGCAATGAGTAAGAGGAGACATGATAAAAGACTCCAGGCATCCGAATGAAGGGAGTGGCACTGAATTAAAGAACTGAATAGTTTGAATGAATAAAATATCTTTTTGAGGAATGGATCCATCAACGATCTCCCAAGAGATAAGGCACAGGTCTCATTTTTTAGGCATTTAAAACTAGAATCTGCGTTTTTGAGGAGAAATCCACACTGCCCTGAAGGCAGTATACATCAAACCCTTTCATCTCCCATGTGGGATGCTACAAAGAAAGTGTGCCGTGCCACAGGGAAGCACAGTCAACTCGGGAAGACCTCACCCAAGAAACAGATATGCTTTTTCACTGCATGATATAATAATATTGAAAAAATAAAAAATGGGTCTGTAACCAAGATTTTCAGTATCCTCTGCAGCTGATTCAGGCTCTTTACTGGGTAATTTCAACCTACAGTGTTTTCATCTCTGCTTCCTTCAGCACACCCTAATGCAAGGTTAAAAAAAAAAAAAAAAAAAAAAAAAGAGGGATATAACCACCACCACTGTACTCCAAACTAACAGGTCTGGATATACGACTTCATGCTACCACTTTCACCCTTAGGTGAAAGTGCAAGCCAGGAACCCACGGCTCATCTGCTACAGAAGACAGCAGGATCAGTGTGTGATGGAGCCTTCGCCAAAAAAAGCCCCGCGGCATGGAAGGCAAGAAAATTCTGGAAAGCAATCCAATACCCGACTGTGCTGATACAGTATCCCTCAAAGAAAAGCACTCTGGTACCAGCCATCTGATGAGCTTTGTAAAAATTAGATGCAAGTCCAGAGCCCTGAGAAAACTGCCTGGGATGAGAGCTAAGCCTGCTGCACTGAGTTTGTCCTCAAAACTATGCGTGATGCATGCAACACATGTATGTACCTTAACACCAAATGTGTGAAGCCAAAGATTTTGGAAATTTTCATGCAACCTCCAATGCCCAGCCTTAGGAAGGTCTCCTGAATACCTCCATAGGCATGGACAGAGGATGTGTTCAAGGGAAGAAGCCTGCCCTGATCTTTATTTACAGAACATATGCACACAGAGCATTAGGTCAGGCCAGGAGGGCTGCCAGCAACACCAGCTTATCAACACCTTTTATATATACAGGGGTTGCAATTCACCCCCAGAAGGTCTAGCAGGTGTTCCTCCTCCTTATATCCTTGAAGCAAGTTGGCCACCGAGAATTGCTGGGTATGATTTACAAAGCTCAGATTTGGGTATTTGGCAGGCTCCTTCTCCCTCAGCAGGGAGAAGCCAAAGCCCCTTTGCTGAGGGTGCAATTTAAATCACAGTCAAGTTCACTCAGTGGCCACAAGTCATGGAAGGGGTGGCTGGGTTGGTGAGTTCACGCAGGGCCATCGGGTCTAGGAGAAAACCAGCGAGGGAAAAAACAAAGGTGAAGAGTTTTCCTCTAATTAATTCCCTAAACCAGTTCAGTGGGGTTCAAGCAAGTACTAGAAATCTTTCCCCTTTTGGCATGAACTCGATCAGCTGAACGGCAACATGTGACCACAATCCAAGGCAACCTTTGTTTGCAAGACCATGAGTGGATCTTTTTGATTTATATTTCTTTTCTTTCCCACAGCAAGCTTTTAGGTCTGCAGCAGCTCTTCTCCATGGGAACAGGAGATCCACTGTTTACTGGCTGGTGAGTTTTATAGTTTTATTGCAAAGCTGAAACAGCAACTTTTCTATTTATTTATCATTATTATTTTACATGTAGAGCATTTTAGTATGCAGTGAATCATCGTGCTTTATTCTTGCATGTCTCTTTGGAAGGCTGAAATACACCACCAGGCATCAAGATTCACACTAAATGCTGAAGAAACATGATCCTACTTAATTTGAGAGGCAGGCTCATGTAAAATACCCATTCAAAGTGGAGCAACCTCTGCACTTACATCATGGTGGAAAAAAGACAAAATTTGAAGCATCTAAAAAATATCATGATGTATTCTACCAAATCTTCCTCTTTTTATCTAGAATCAGCTGTTTCCATCACTGCAGCAACACTGATGCTCAAGATCACCGTGCTCAGGCTGTTGCTGCCATACTTAAGTACAGGCATGCAGGTTGTAGTCAGACACTGACTTCCTCCCCTTCTGAAGTTGGGTTATTCCTGCTCAGGCCACTTCTGCTGTTTTACCCCGCTCTCACCAAGGATTCAGAGCTCCTGCAGCTCACCCCACACTGACAGCTTCAGGAAGTTGAGGAATAAAATGGACAATTTTGACACTGTAATGAAGTAAGGGTTATTTTTTTTTTTTTTTTTTTTTTTTTGCCATGCAGATAATCAGCAAGAAACAATTGCCTCCCATGTGGCCAACACACTGACAAGTTTCTAATATCCAAAACACTGGGTTGGTTGGGGTAATTCAAATGCCCCTCCCCGCCCGCCCCCCCCCCCCAAAAAAAAAAGCCCCAAAAACAAACAAATAAAAAGAAGAGAAGCCTAAGAGAAGAGCAGGTTGGGATGTATTGAGTGCAGGTATACCCCCTGCATTCATCCAGCCCTGAACTGGATCCCTGGGACCTGCAGCCAATCCCCAGGGGGATGTGCTCGCTAGAAAGACCCAAGAAGGATGAGACGTGCACTTTCTCACACTGACATACAGCTTTGAGTGACTAAGTCAATCCCTGCTCCTACTCAATCTTTGCTGGCAGCCATTTGCAACAGACATTTTCCAAATGCTTCCTGCAGCGTTCCCTGCTCTCCCACACTACAATAATCGTTACACTATTTTTACTCGAGATCTGAGAATGTGTCAGGGAGAGACAAGAGCTTTTCAGGAGGCAGTCTGGCACAGGGAATACCAGCACTGCTACAGAGCAAACCCTAGGTGGTGACCCTGTGGTCCTGAAGTGTTTTGGGATGGAGCAAAGCAGCACAGAAGGGCCCCAACCACTGCTGTGAGAAGCCTGGAAAGAGTTACCGCCGGCTTCGGAGGGTTGCTCCTTCCCAACAAGGCAGGAGGGGTGAAGAATGCAAGTGACGCAGCAGCATCCTGGCAGGAGAGAGGAAAAAAAAAAAAAAGTAAAACAAAAAAGCCAACAAAAAAACTAAGGCTCTTTGGATGAGGTTCAGGATGACTACACTTTTACTGTAAGTGTTTGGTAACTCGGAGTCGCATAACCCTCCTCTGCCCACTTGGGGCTACAGCAGATGGATTACGACAAGAACCACTCTACAGACATGCACACACGCCCCAATTCCCTGTCCAAGGGAGGACAAAAAAATATAACAAATTAAGCTGTGTTTCCCATTTAACAGAGACCGACTGCTATTTATTTAACAATTTTAAAGTGTTATTTTAGCCTTCCCGGTCTGTGTGTGTTCAGAGGCTGTTTCTGGGACACAAGCCAAAGTCTATCAGAGCAACTTGGCACCAAGAGAGAGAGGAAAAAATGAAGGGAGGTGATGGGCAATGCTTCCCGCACTGACAGTCCCCGGACCTGGACAGGGCGAAGAGGAAAAATGGGGACAGCCATGGAAAAGCCAGGTGCTGGCAAAGCCTACCCACTTCCCAGTGCAAGTACACTGCAGCACCAAGAGCTCCAGGACAAGTGCACTGAGGGAAGAAAAAGACACCGAGTATCTCCCAGTGGATAACCACAAGGTCCTCCTTGGGATCTTGCATCCAATTCCCTCCTCCTGCCTTTGCCATCAACCTCTCCAGGGGTAGCATCAAATCCACTGTCCCTCCCTAAAGATGTGGTCTGGGGATCTCTTTTGCTTCTGCTGCCTTTGTTGTGCCTCTGGATCAGCATTTGGGATTGATGTTGAGCAGACAGGTAGAGGCAAGACACGGCATGTCAAAGGGAGAAGGCTGATGCCCCAAATGAGTTCTCCCCTTCAAGCACTTACTGCTCCCTCTCCCAGGTTCAGAGCAGATGAGACAGCTTTCAAATACCAGAATGCCATGAAATCAAGTGCCAGGTAGACATGGACAGTCATCCTGCACATTGCTAAGGCAACAAACAACATAATGGGAACCTACCTGGCACCCAGCAATGAAGGCTGCAAAACATGCAGCTCAGTCGACAACCAGTCCATTTCACACTCATAAAATATGTTTTATCAGTTTAAAAATTTCCCATCTTTTCCCACATTGCAGCATCACTGTCCTCACCTCCCACTTTCCCTACTGCTCACTCTGTAGCATACAGCTGCAGCACAACAGCTGACTTGTGGAGTTGAGAAATACTTGCATGCTAGAACACAGACACCTCTCACTAGTTTCTTCATGAAGGTCGAATTCAGAGGCTGCTGAAGTGGATGGGAGGCCCCAGTTTCCCCAGATTTGGGCCAGTGGGATAGTGGCTGAACCAACACTATGAAGTCTCACCTCTGAGGATGCTCCAGCGGCTCCGTGCTGCAGGAGCTCCCTGTATGCATGCTTTCCCAGTGCTCAGATGATGAATTAACCATGTTTGCTGTCAGTCTGGGGCTTGTAGGCAGAAAGTTCTCAGAAGCTTTACTAGCCCTTCAGCAGATGTAGGGAGCAAGGACCTGACAGACACAGTGTCTGGGACAGGCAGTGCTAACCCAGACACATGCAAGAGCCTGGCTAAAGGGCTGTGCTTAGCCAGATGGTTGAGTAGTTACAGCCACTTACACTGCCTCAGTAATGTTATTAAAACAAGCATAGATGTGCACCGAGGGCATATAGAACCCGTCCTCCAGAGGTGCATCCAAATGAGGTCCCTACATGAATCTCCAGTGAAGCAAAGCATTAGGTTGGATGAGGCAACCTGATCTACTCACAACAGAGGGTTGGAACTGGGTGGTCTCTAAAGACCCTTTCAACCCAAGCCATTCTACAATGATGCTATGAAAGCAAGGCTTGTTGCTGAGCAAGGAGGCGATTGCGTGGAATAACTCTGGCACCATACAAGCTGCTTTCCTCCATGCCACCCTGCAACAGCACAGTGACCCCAGACTGGGCAAGTGGGAGCAGCATGCAGTGAGTTGACTCTCAGAGCCACAGTATCTCCCCTGGGGCAAGAAGTTCGCTGCTACTCCTCTTGCTTTGCACCTGAGACTGCAGCTTCACAGCTCAGCACTGGCATAAGCTCAGCACTCAGCAAACTCGACTGGAGGACACTTGCACTGATACAACACGGTGTGGAGGAACCGCCTGGAAGTCTTCAGGCCTTCTGCTGAAAGCAAATCAAATCAAAACAAACAGGTATTTCCTCCTTAGATCAAGTCCACATCCAACAAACCTTGCACATGCTGCAACACAGACCGCTGCCCCATGGGAGCTCTTTGCTCCATGCTTTGCACTAGAACCCCTCTTGGTTTTATTTACAAGAACTCCTGTCAGCATGTCCAGCACGGTTGCCAACCGCTCACCTCCCTGCAGCGTGGGTTTACAGTTGCACTTGACTTCTTTCCAGCTAAGTCCCAGCCTATTAGCCGTGAAGAGGCCAAATCACTTATTTACTTCTTAACCTTCCCTGTCAACTTTATAAAACAAATTGAAATTGTTTTTTGAACTAGTTAGATTCAGTGCCGCATGTCACAATCAAGCTTCCTTTTTTTCTTTTTTTTTTTCCAAGGGAAATTTTAGCCCTGACTGAGTTAGAGCTGAAATCCAGACTTTGGTAGCAAAACTCACATCTTCCTCCAAGACACCATGCCCAGATGCCATGCTCAGTATGGGATCACAGCCCGGCAATGACCCTGCACAACACATGGGAAGGTTCTACAGCCTACAAAAAGAAGCAGGCATACCCAGTAGCTCTGCCTATCTGTAATCTTCCTCTCTTGGCACTTTTATAACCTCCTGTTATTTTAAAAGCTAGCACACACTGGTTTAGTTTTGCTGCTATGCATTCTTAATATCAACGAGAAAAGTCTTTCTTCTTGCAGTAAAACCCCTTTTTCTCCTCGGGGGTACAGCTGGTAGGGCAGAATAGACTCAGCATTTAACATTTATTGTAAGCATGAGTATCAGCTTGAATCATCCTGGCTTGCAGGGCCCAAGAGCATTCCCAGCAGCTGTGAACACCGTCAGATAGCCGCTGTAGGGGTATTTGGTTCAGCATTCATGGAGGAGGAAATCAGCAGTTTGCATCAGCACAGAGTGACCAGTTTGTGGTCAACTGAACCAAGAGTCAAAAGCCCAGTGTAATGCTGTCATGTCGGAAATCTGGTCTGGATGATGGGACTCAGCAGAACCAAAGTGCAGCAGCCAGAAGCAAGACAGAACTCAGATGCAAGGGCTGCAGAGAGGTCCAGCAGCCATCCAGCCCCAGGCCACTCAGCTTATTTGTCTCTGCGCCACTCTCCAAGGCAACACCAGCTTGGCTTCTGCCAAGAAGGAAGCTGGTCTCAGCCGCAGTTCCCAGCCACCAGCAGCCTTCTCCCTGCCATCCGGGAAGGGATGCTGTGCTGCTAACAAAGCATTTTCTAACACTTATTGGGCCAGATCCAGAAGCATTCATTTTCCCTCACCACCACCACGATGAACTGAAACCTATACTCTGAGAAATAGCAGCCTGCTCCACTGCCACTGGGCACGACTGCAAGGCAGCAGCCAGAAACCACGTCCTCCTGGGCAGCTTTCTGCTGGTCCTGGGCTCAGACAAGGGGAGATGCTGACTGACACCTTTCTGGGTGTTTCAAATCCACCATTCCCATCAAAGCATGATCCAAAGCAGATGTCCAGCTGTCTCTCCTCTTCCTGCCCTGCCTCCTGCATCTTATCCACTGTCCTGGCCAAAACATGTCGCTACGTTGTGAAATAAGTGCTGAAGACAGCACCCCATCAAATCATACCCAGCACCTGCGGTGGTTGTTATTTTTCCCCCTAAGTTTAGCATATGCAAATCTTCCAGCCATTCCTTCTAAGTGAAGCTTCCCAAACAGAAGCTTCATTTTCCCAAGCTGCCTGCTTGGAATATGAAAATATTAAAAACATAGAGGATGGATGCTCTACTTGAAGCAAGGTTCCATGAGACAATACAGACTGAATTGTTACCTTTGCCATTTTTCTGTAGGCTATTTGAGGTCTGCCTTTCTTGTAACACCATCCAATCCTTAATACACAATCAGTTTATGATTCACTGCATCTCCCAGGTCCTTTCTGCAGTTAGTGTGTTATTGTTCATTTTGGGTACATGCATTCAATTGCCAACTGCACTAATTTGCACTTGTCTTTACTGAATTTATTTTTCTTGTCTTCAGACTACCCCTGTAACTCATTAAGACAACTGTAAACAAGGAGACTATTGAGTGAAGTATCATCAACACCTCTGGTTACACTCATGTCATTTGCAGTCTACCTCTCAATTCACTAGAGAAAGTAGACCCTAAGCAGACCACTCAAAACACCCTTTCGATCCTACAGCAAACTGTTTTCGAAGTACTGCTTCTTAAATACTCAGTTATGACTATTTCATCGTATTTCCCAAGTTTGGTTGTCAAAATAGCAGGATATCCTCAGGAACTACCCAACATCTTCCAGCACTTTGTTTTGGTACAGTCACTAAAATCTCAGGACTGATACAGGTTTTCCTCCTAACTCTGCAACCTCTCCATCCCTCATGACAAACCACTGCATCAGTCGGTAGCACAGCTCAGAGCTGGTAATACAGCGCGAGTGAAGACGGATGAGTTCTGCAGTTATTCCAAGCTTTCCTAAAATTTATTATCCACTCTTCATCAGGGATCACAATCTTCTGATTTTTCTTCAAGTCTTATTTTCCAAGTAGGCCTCACCAATCTCTTCACTGATTGCTCCTGGCTGAGCTCCAGTGCTTCAGGGACTCACAACAAAAAGCAAATATCCAAAGGGTTAATGATTTTTTTCCCATGATCTTTGTCTCATAAACATTAATTCCACTGGAAAAAGGAACATTTCATTTAAAAAGAGCAGCTGTTGGGAAGAATAATGTAGGGTTTAGAAAGAAATTTAAGAAAATAAAATAAAATAAAGGGAAGCAAGGGGAGAAAGCAAAATAACACTTCCAGAAAGTTTTCCAAAGGAAATGAGTAACC